CCCGACCTAACTCTGTCAATAAGCATTTTATCATATGACCACTTGTGTTGAAAATTTTGAAAATTCTGTTTGAACCTAAATAGGACGCGATTACATAACATCAGACGGCCTATTTTCTTATGGTTTTCCAAGGAAATTGCGCGCGGGGCCGTACGGGTCATATGATAATTTTCTTTATTCTCGTCAACTCTCTGATTGATATTTTATTGATTATGTGAGGGGAAATTATATGCTGGTCATTCTTGGGAACTACTTCGAAGTCTGTTACGTCCATCAGAAGGGGTTACTTCTGATTAGCTCAGTTACCGAAGTTTTTCCCTTACTTTTTTGTCTTTGTCTTTGTTTTTGTCTTTTTGTGGTGACCGTGCTTTTTTCATTATACGTGGTAGGCTAATGCAACGCCTGTAACCAGCATTACGGGCTCTTGGACGAGTGAGAATTTGTTCACTCGTTACGCTTTGCGATGACTTTTCCACGTAAAGGTAGTCAGTCATTAATAACATTGTTTACCAAGAGGGCACGGTAACGAATCCTGCAATGTGATTGGTTTTTATAGCGCAGTCCGGACTTTCCTATCCCTGTCCACTTTTGCGGTAACGCTCTCGTGAGTTCTATAAAAGTGATTTGAGGGAAACGGGAAAAAAAAATAAAGAAATTATTGTCCAGACAAACATTTTATTCTGCCTCTTAGTTGATATTCAAACTTAACTAACTATGCTGGCTAGGGTATTCTAACAGGGGTGTGCTATGTAGCCAGCCCAGTCAAAGTTTATCAAAAATTGAAGAGTTTGTTGATTCCTTGTCAAACACCTTTCTCAGCAAACAGAGCAAGCCCAAACAATAGCGTTTATTGTTATGCTAAACTATATAATTTGAAGAGGGGCATTTACCGGTTTAGGGTTGGTCTATACACTGGAAAACTCGGGCTTGAAAATGCCGCATTTTCAGGTATTTTCATGACCTCGGCCATAGGTTTTCACTATACAGACCTCCCAGCCAGCAAATAACATGCATAAATAACATATTATAGCGGCCTTACGATCGCCAAGAATATTCAACACTTCTCGAAGAAAAGCCCTTCGTCTGTTCTGTTGGTGAAAGCTAAAAGAAGATTCGGCTCAATCAAGAACAGTCCACCACAGACGCTCATTACCCGAAGCCTCCATCTCCTATACTAACCCTGTGGGTCAACCCTTTCCCGTATCTTTCTATTTTTAGAAACAACTTACTCTGGTGATAGCTCTCACATGTCCCCTTTTTAAATAGCCAGTGGTACCCGAGCTAAGACTGGGATAATTTGCAGAAACAAGATATTTCGTGGGAAACTAGGAGACCCCTATGCTTATTACAGTTCTAGAAATAGAATGATATGGGAAAGGGTTGACTCTTAGGTTATAGCACGTAAGGAGGGCTGTGGGTGAAGGGCCACTGTCCACCATTGATCCTTCACAGCTGGGGCAGGCTCTTAGCTCTTTCACGATGTTTGTTTGTGATTGATGCCATATAAAGGTCTCCTTTAAGGGTTTAATTCAGTTTTATCGACAGCCCCTCGGCTTCCTTTTCATAAAGGAGTACCCCAGCACCAGAGTTCCGAGAGTTGGTTGGCTCCTCTCTCCTCCGTAGAGGCTCAATAGGGAATTTTTCATACACATTCCAAATTCAACATGGCCCTCAATAGAATTGAGATTTACTTTGCTCTGGTGAGATTAATGACATTGTTTATCTCCATTGCTGGTGTGAAAAGCCTGTGCTTTCATTTCAAAACTTTTCAGGAGTTCCTTTGTCAATATTTCGCGTCAAATATGAAACACGAGAAAAGGTAGCTTGTATGTAACAAAGCATCGGAATTCCTCCATAATTCCTTCACATTGGTAAATGTTGGGAAAATGCTATTAACCAACCAAATTCCAACACGGCAAACGTAAAACTAAAGCAAAAATAGTATACTAATCATTCTGGTCTACTACTTTTCCACATTTTTTGTCGCCTAGTGTTCAATGATTACATTTGATTTTCTAGCTCTTTCTATTTTCTCTTTAATTGTATGTTTGGTTAGTGCCGTAAGGGACATGACAAAATTTCCAAATGAATAAATAGCCTATAATACTCTATTATTGTTACATGCAATGCGTAGCTATACGAATGTGTTGCGGAGAGGTCGACAAAAATCGATAATAGCAAGTTTAACACATTAAGTATAATGTTTTGTTACCTAACTCCATTTTTGCCCATTGGGCGTGTTCATATATATTCAATATTAATTCATAAGTATGATACAGTTATGTTTGTTTTCCTTTCTGCTTTTTCTTTTCTTACCATAATTTGAAGGCAGTTACCTCTTAGCAAAAAATTTAACACTTGAAATCGTTCTAGTAAGGAATTGATGTAGTCTTTAAGAATCTCCATGTTTAAAGGGAATTTACTTGTCCGTGGAGCTATGGAACCGTTGATCAGTGTAATGTAGCTCATGGATACGGTCTTCGAGTGAATTTAGTATACGTTTTCTGTCATCTCAGATGAGAAACCGGGATGGGTGTAAAAGGCGACCTTCTCACTCTTTCTACACCTTGTAAGTTCGCAGATCCCATCGTCAATTTGACGTAGTAGCGATGACTATTTCATTCCGTCGAGTTGGTAACGAACGTTGCAGTGCTTGACGGATTCTAGTTGGCTGCTAAGTAACTCTCTGGTCCTGTCTATCTATGATGTTCAAACTGGACACTTCAGCTAAGCAAAGCTGAGATGCTTCCTATACGATAGTTCTTTGCCTTGATGCAGACGTTCTGGATACATCCACCTCGAAGGGACGATACGAATTCCATTTACTTTATTGTGTGTTTTGATGTATCAAACCTAAACTAAAACAGGGCTCTCCACCTTCGACCTTTTCCGTTGCTTTTCCTGCGGTGAAAAATATATCAGTTATCCTGAGAAGAGATCATCAACAACAGAAATTTTCCGTTCACAATCCCGACTCAATCTGACATACCAATAATTTTTCTTCTCTGGCGTTCTGACTCGTCCCACTGGAACTGTTACCCTGGCCACTCCTAGACGCATTGGACATCTCGGCCATTGCCCCATTATGCATGGTAAAGTCTTCGTTGGCGTTACTTTTCCTCTTGAGAAATAGTCGACTTAGTTGCTGTTTAGACGTCTTTCTATAAGTTGATTTTGTTTCCGACGAAAAGCGCCTATCCCGACCATACAGCGAGTCAGCATTTCTGTGACTGCTTAGTGTTTGACACCTGCATGCGAAGAAAGAAAAAAGCCCACATATAACTGATTGAAACGTAAATTGCTGTTCGCTGTGCGTGACAAACATTGAGCATGCTTTGGCTTCTTTAAAAGCTCAACACAAATACATTTTACCGACGCGGGAAAACGAGTGCAATCGAACGACTCACGATGGGCTTGGGTTTTACCCCTGACTGGATGACAAAGTGGCCTGCATGAGTTTTTTGAGTCAATCGCTTGGCGTGGTATTGAAAACTTTAAGAAAAATATGAACCACTTTGGACACTCAAGTGAAAAACGCTCTGTCAAGGTTCCTCTGTAATTTCTGATCCCACGTACCTCAACAATCTACCGAACTCCCTCCTGTAGTTGCGATTCAATGCTGCGTAAACAACAGGGTTACAGCAGCTGTTTGCGAAACTCAACCAGAGGCTAAACATCATCATCTGGAAAAACACTGGAGTTACATCACGTTTGCCAGCAAAGTTATCGTACAGGACTAGAGTGTGATATGGAAGCCAGCAAAACGAAAACAGGACCACAACTATCACCAACATGCGAATAACACTTTTCTTCGCACGACGAGCCCCTGTCGAGAGATGGTTGTAAAAATAGCTTTGTTAATAGGGATAGAGATGTGGTCCAAAAAGAAGGCTATTTCCGGCATTCCTACTTTTCAGTGATAACATTTAACTAAATAAATGAACAACGAAGCTGATCAGTCAGTCACAGAGGAACGGTGAGACAGTAGTGCGGGAAATTTCCCGAAATCAGTTTGACTAGTTCCAATTCCCTCGCTCAACAAGTACCGTTGGCAACACTGTCTAACTCATCAGTAAGCAAATTCACACCAAAGCATCTAATAAGACATATATACTAAATATGTGTAGTATATCCTAGATATTTCCTAAGACTCGTCGTCAGTTGATGAAGTTATGCATGCAAACATTTAGAGGTATTTCAAAAGATGAAGAATGGGCCAAACAGTAACATCATAACTTATCTTACAAAGCTGGGTCAACCGCCAAACAAGTTTTTATCGTCTTCCCGTTGCTGGGAATAGTCAGAAACTGATTTCGTAACACTTTCGTTTTAACGATACCGAGATATTCAAAAGCAGAAACTGATAGTGCAAAAAACCCGCCTGTAGAAAGAACCATGCACGAGTATGAGCACAAAGGGGAGCTCATAAGTGCTTAAGTCCGAAAAATACTTTGCCGAAGCTCGAACTCAGTGGAAAATCTAAAAAGAGAGAAAAAATACATGCATTGCATGGAAAAATGAACGGCGGGCACTGCCGAGGAATAGGTTTCATATGTGATGTAGTCTGGATCACAACGAAGAATAAATCATTGATAACAGGGACCCCGTCAACAAACACCTAGATGAATTCCAGCGTTGAAATCAAGCCAAAATGATGGTTTTGGTCTCTGTTCAGCATTCAGGTTACAAATGGTTATGATCAAAAGTTGTAGTGCTAAATCTCCTACTAATTATCCAGTATTTATGGACCCTGAGCAGTTCCTGGAGAAGCCGAAAACTTTCGATGTACGCGATTGCGAACTTTCTTTGTGGTCAGTCTACAATGATCAGTTTACGTGCTCGCGTACCGTCTTTTAAAAAGATTTTGGGCTCCTTACCCTCTGCAAATTGTTCCAATAAGAGGTGGACTGATGAAAAAACGGAGTGTCGGCAGAGACTTAAAGTAAACACAATGCCCAACAACGCTAACAGAATTAAGTTATTCAGCTCAACGACTGTGGAAATATAAGCCATGGAGATTTTCGTTTCATTAGCTGAAACACTTTACAACCATTTTAGCTACTGATATCAATATAAAGAGTAGTATTGCTGAACGTGCCGTCGCTTAATGCATGATGGTATGTAAGTATGCCGTAGGATCCGATACCTCTTTTATTGGGAAGTAACCAACATAACCGTTACTTTGCTTGAGTTCCATAATTAGCTCCATAACTTCACTTTTAGCAACCTATTTCCAACAGAGTTGCTTATTCTTACACTGAGGACCAGAATCTTTCGATTCTCTGGTTTCGGGCCGGCCGGAATACATGTGATTTTTGGATTTTTCTTTTGCAGAGTGTGAATTTTTCGGTTGCTGTTTTGTGGTGACGGTCTTGAATCGCAAACCAATTTTTTCGTAAGTTGTTTGTCAGTTAAAAGAGAGTCTCTATGGACGTTTTTTTTGTTTGTTTGTTTGGTCATACCCTGCAGCATTCAGTATATTTATGTGAGGAGATGATCCTGGCGTGTCGTTTTGCAGGTTTATTATGACACACGGAAAAAAAGAAAAATATTTCTTTATGTTGAGTATCAAAAATTATATTTAACCTAGAAGTATTATTACCGGCTATCTGGTATTAGCAACTCAGAAAGCTTTTAGAAAGACTTCCGCAATGTCTAAAATTAGTTTGAACAATGATGTGAACGGCAATCCTGGAACTAATCCAAAGATCTTTCCTTGAAAGCAATTTTTTTTCATTATTCTTTTTAACTTAAGAGTAAGGTGTTGTTGTATATAGATTATTTGGCTTACAAAATTTTGTAGCGTTCTTAAACTACCGGTATTTATTTTCTACACAGAGCTTGGTTTTGGTTCATTTTCAGTTTGAAATCTTCGTTTCAGATTTTTCCAGAAGCACGATAACTGAAGCCAACTGTCTTATTCACTGGGGAGGATAATGCAACCTTTAGCCCTTAATTCCGCTCTATGGTTTTTAAATCTCAAGGGAGAAGATTAAGCTTAGTCGGTTCATTTTAAATACGGTACTGACTTCCGATACTCCTATACGGATTTCTTAGTGAAGTGTTTTCAAATCATTATTTGCTAAGCCGGTATCTTTCGATTTTACGACTAGTTTGCCTAAAATAGCTTTCTAGCTTCAAGCTTCGGTTCTATTATCCTTTGGCCATACAATGTGGTATTTTCCTTTGTCCTGGGTTATGGTAATATTATAATGCATATGGAACAAAGGAAAATGCCAATTGCACCAAGGGTAACATATACATGGATATAGATTAAGAAAAAATAAAAACGAAGTCTTTAACAAATATGTTGTTTATCTTTCAAATATCAGTCATATATATATTTCCCTTTAAAAGTGCTTTGTCAACAATTAACCATGACAAATCCATTACATTACTATTTGGCGTTTTTCTATTGTCAAAAATGAATGTTTAATAATGTTTTGGAATTCTTAGGGAAAATGTACACTTAAATGTGCAATTTCTTGCGCTCGCGCAGCATTTTTTGAAAGTTTTTTTAGTATTTATTTATTAATGGGAAGAAAGCCATACATGCTAGTTTTGAAACAGACGCAAATTTGGCCACCTTATACACCACAAATACAATGGACGTTGTGTCTACAAGAAGTCGATTGATCACCTTATAAACTGTAAAATGTACTTTAAAAAACCAGGCAGGTGTGTCAATACATGTAGTTGCTTTTTGTTTGGCAAACGCTGCGAGCTCAATATAAATGAAAGACCAGTGGCCTCTTCACTTCGTAAAAGTATACATCTTTCGCAAGTTATTTGCTAGTGATTTACCTTTTTTTTGGTCGATTTTACCTTTTGAAATTACCAATTTATTGTATTGTCAGGATTTTCCTTTTACTTTTTTAGTCAATAATTAACGAGTGATCCAGATGCCCAGCACGACCAAAAACCTGTAATCAGTCGTCTGTTTTGAGGAGAATTCAAGAGTGAAGCAAACACGCAGTTACATAAATAACATTCTAGATCAGCCATTTGCTTAGTGTAGCGCTATATATTTCGGTCTAAATTCTGCATGGTAATTATCCGCTGAAAAGCAATTAATTTCTGGCATATAATCAGACCAAAAGCACATTTAGGTAGAGTATCTTAATACTTCCGACTCTAAATTTGTTCCAAAAATGCTGTCGGCAAATTGTCGGGGAGTGAGGTCTTTCTAGAGATATTGTAATTCAAAGGGGAGGTTTTCGTGGTAATCCGCTTTTCGGCCACGTTTCAAGCGATTCATCCCTTCTTTAGTACTTGAGTATAAGTCTTCGGAGTGTCATGGTCCGCCAGGGCTTATGAAATAATAGAAAGCACGTATCAAGAAATGGTCAAAATGACCATATAAGACCAATTTTAGGTCGTATAACAATACCTATTGTTATCAATGTTGAGCCGGTTTTCTTGATACGCAATTGTTGTTACGAGTAGAACGAACAGTGTTGGTAGCAAAACAAGCTTTAAATTTGCAGCCAAGAATACACGGCCGTTTGAAAAGCTGCCAGAAAGGATTTCTGAAGTATAAACATCCGGATTATCAATAGACCATTTTACTTATGTTTTAATTTATCGTCACATTCAAGTGCACATTTATCAACGATGATGGTAAAAGCAAGGTTTCATGGATTTCTGTACCCTTAAGCACAGGATAAAATAAGTATATGCTAAATAAAGTAGGGTCTTAAGCAGATAGAAACGATTTCCCCGAGGCTGGCAGCTATTAAGCTGTCAGCCTCGGGGAAATCATTTCTATCTGCAAAACCTCCCTCGTACACAATGAGGTATTTTCATTCTGTAGTATCTGTGTAAAATATGCCGGAGGTGATTTTAGTTGAGACCAAATAATGAACACGAAAACTGAACAAATTGGTGAATCTGCATTAGTCCACGTTACGAATAGTTAATAGTGTGAAACATTAACAATCCGTTGAAAAAAGCCCCAAAATAAAACTGCTAGACGAAACACGTTGTCGACATTTATTTTTTTTAATTTGCCAAAAACAATTTTGTTTCCAGTTATATTTTTTAAAAAATCCCTTAGCTGCGGGACAATGAAGTGTAAATGACTCGAAAGTGTTGAATTACTCAAACTCAAAAAACCCGCATGAAAAATAAAAGGAAAAATAACGTGAAATTTTCTTAATTAGATCTAACTGCCCTCGTCGTCTGTTGATTAATGTGCTATTTACCTGCTAAAAGTATACACCAAATGGGATTTCAATAGAGCCGCCTTCAATGGCCGGCATCAATTAAAATTTTATTGTAATTGCAAAGACGTCGTGAAAAGACCTACAGGTCAAGACACCCATAAGTCTTTGATCGTAAAATGCTGTCGTCTTTGCATATAATCGACGGCGACGTTTCAAGTCCTTTATTACGGAAATGGAACAGTAAAATTTTGCCACGCTGTAGAATAGTCCACAATTTTGACGCACCTTTAAAGATCTAAATGAAAAAAAATTAATTAAAAAGTACAATAAGACTGAGTCAAGTTCTAAAATACGCCATTTTCTAATATTTTTTCCAAAGAAGAAATTAACCTACATTGTCATTCAAGCTCTCCACCAGAAATGAATATAAACATTTTTTGAATTATTTATTGATTTATTGATTTGGTAATCCAGGTTCAAACATTTCGAAGAAATAAAGGAAAGGGAACTAAAAATGATGAAAATGGCCGACAAAATGAATAGTTCCATGTTCTTTGCATCAGACATATTAGTCTTGAAAGATATTGACTCGGTGATAGTAATTTTATTTATTCTAAAAATTTCACGTTTTCAGGCTAGAACAGCGTGAGATCCTTTGCTCGCAGCACGCTTTCTGCATAAATGCAAAAAGGTTACGATAGTAAATAAGGTTCGCACGATATTTATCTTTCAAATTTCCGCTTCATTTGGAGTTTACTTGAAGGAGATTTTTGCGATGTCTACTGGTTATAGAAGTAAATAAATCCGTGTCGCTCGCACTGGGCATTTCCAACTGTATCAAAAGCAACTTTTATCATTCATTTCATCATCGCGAGTACGGTTAGAGCCTTGAGGCTAAAAGACAACCCTCAACACTATATGCACTGGCTTAGGTCAACCCCTGCTGGCCAAATGACTGAATTAATTCTTCATAAAAAGATCAGGAAGCTGGCAGGACTCTTCTTACTTGAAACGAAGAAACCGAAAAAGGAGTGCAACACGATTCTTTAAACCTAATCTTCTACCAAGAAGGTTAATGGATTTCAATCTCAATTAAATTACTCTACGCTCCCACGCATATTTTAAGAAATTTTGTAGTAAAAGAATATTCTAAAGATTCTAAAATAAGGACTTAAATATCCCTGAGGGTAGTGCGTTTTGTCAAATTCACTTTGAGTTTTTAATGTGTTGATATGGGGAGATGCCCTCGCAAGACTTTACAAGAAAGAAAATGTATTTTTGAACAGATCTTGATAAATGTTTTTATTTAAGCTGAGCACACCTTCGATTTTAATTCCGGTTGCATAAAATAGCAGCATTTTGCAGAAATTAATTAACACTTCCAGGTATTGTTTTCGTTCCAGTGGGCAAAAGTGTCTACTTCACGCGGATCGTTGCTGTACCTTTATCTATAGTTCTTGCGACCGTAAATTGCTTTGTTTACGTTCCTGTTTAAAGGCCTTTGGCGATACCCACTTTTTAACGCTTTCACTCTCATTAAAATGCAATGAAGGAAAGTAAAGTTGTCGCCACGATGCGACCGCGATAAACGTTGGTAAAGAGCAATAGGGCTCCATTTCCGTGTTGACAATAGTTCGGTAGAAGACTAACGACACGAACGAACTGAAAACTGTCATTCATGTCAGAGTCTGTGTGTGTAAAAGACAAGCACTCAAATTATCCATTAACAGAGAAATCGGCAAATTTACATAAACATTGATACGGAGCGTGTAACTATCTTGCTAAAACCAACTTATAGAAAAACAATCTCAAGTGGGCATTTCAGAAAGTAATATTCTTTGGGTCCAAACAGATGGTTCAATTCTCCGTTTTGCAAAATAGTTTGGCGGTGGTGTGAGTCCCCATGACGAGCTAAATCTTTTATTGTTTCAGTGCCGGATCTATTATGGCTAAATTTCTTCGAACCATTGTTTCGAACGCCATTTTCATTCTTTTTTTTCGCCTTTCTTCCAGTTCTTCTTAACTGATTCTGTTGTTTTTACTGTTCTTAAAGCTGTCACAATCTACTCGGGTAAAATACGAGTGGAAAAATCACAATCATTAATGCAAATTTGGCTTTGGAGTATTTGTTTACAGATTAGAAATAGCAAACAGACCTTATGAATTAGCTACGAATGCAAAAATTTTTTTTCTTTCTCAACATTTACATGAGCCTGTGTAGAAATTAAAAAATTTCGTTTGATAAATACATTGGGCAAAATCTATTACATAAATTTGTCTTTCAAGGTCACTGAGTCGCTTTTTAGGCAAGATGTAGCAGAGAAACATATATAATGTAAATAGTACAAAATTCACGCGTTTTGCTATTAACAGATGCTGAATCCGTACATATTTAGTCCCAGTTAGGAGATTATTTCCAAAAACAGACAGCATTATCTAAGGTTTTTCTACCAACAAAATTTTTTGTTGTGTATTTGTAAATATTCGTTTCCGTCTCATCTTTGGTACCTTTTCGGCAATAATTAGAGTCAAAATGTGCGCGGCGCATGAATAACGAAATAACAGTAACGCTTTCATAAGCCAGGCACTTACCTTCCTGAGCGGATGATTCCGATGTTTTGAGGTTGTGGCAAATTAGAAAATACAGTACTGAAATAGCAATCAGCGGTATTAAATAAAGCGCCACAAATAGTATCACGGTGTAGATTTCTTGAGCGTTCTTGGTAGGCCATTTTTCCCTGCACTGGCGTCCTTCTTCCGTTAGAGTTTGGTAGATCATTAACGGGATTGGATAGATAAAAGCGACGAGCCAAATCGCTGCAATGATCATGATTGCATGTCGAGTGCGAATTCTGGGAAGCAGTGGATGAACTATCGCTCTGTAGCGGTCCGCTGCGATCGCTATTAGCGTCCCGACGGAGGAGAAAATCGTGATACCAAGTATGAAAGGGATTGCCTTGCAAAGGAAAGCACCAAACGGCCAGTAGCCAAGTGTGGAGTACGAAACCGTGAATGGAACGTTTATGAGAGTCACTGTCAAATCTGCAACGCCCAAGTTCGCTATAAAAAGATTGGTGACGCTTCGCATCCGAGGATTTCGATAAGCTAATATGACGAGAGCGTTCCCTACAGTGCCTACAATACAAATGACACCGTAAAATACAATTCTGAGCCACTTCAAAGTAATCGAATCTAAGTCGCCACCTTCGTACTGCGTTGTTGGAGGCATTGTCGAGGTCACATTGCTGAAATTTCTTTGCGGCGAGTCCACCATTCTAGCGGTTGAAAACTGAATGCTACTGAACGCAAACGGCCCGTAGTCCCTTCTTTAATTTGTGTTTATTTGTTGTTTCTAAGGTCGCTGTAGGTTCCGCTAAATTAGTGGCTCTAAACTAAGGCGTTATGCCAATCGTATCTTAAAAGCCAATATTGTGAGTGAATCCTGCAGCGGAGCTGAATCAAATAATATTGCCGTTGTTAGTTTTCAGTTTCAGTGGCGACTGTTCTTTAACAGCTTCCCAGAAGTACTTGTCTTAACCACCAAAGTTTACAAGAGCTTGCTGTCAGCCAACTGTACTGAACGCGTTCAACCGGATGCCTTGATGTGTCGGACTAAAGCTCGGATCCCTTTTAATTTAACGGAGCTCTGAAGGGAGGCTGTAAATGTATAGCATCTACAACTGTGAACACTGGTTGACGTCAACGATGATCCACAGCCTGCGATTGGTCCAAATAAAACTTAGGCAGCTATGATGAACGCAGGGAAGCCAATTTTACTGTTCTTTATAGCCAATTTCCATGTACTGACTGACTAAATCTGATGAATTTTCAATTGGATATTTAGTTAAGGCAGATGCACCAGCCGACATGCCCATCAAGGTCTTTACACATTATCAAACGGATAACCCGTGCGAGTCCACTCATCAAATAAAGGCAGGCAATTTTCTTTTCAATTAAACCGCCTCGCTCTAATTTCTTCTCGCCTGTCTTCCTCTTCTACCATTAATTTGTCGCCGAAGCTCAGAAATTTTGCGGAGATTTTCCCACCGAGTCGGCGTGATGCGCGGTTATTACCTATTGCCTCGTGTAATGTGTACGTAGGTCGAAATTACTCTCGTGGCGTCGAGGTATACAAATATTCCCTTACCGAATTCTGAACCTGACTGTTTCTATCCTGTAGAAAAAAATAAACGTCCGTTTCCTATGGGTTCAAGATATAAAAAGAAACAACAATTAGCTTTCAGTCGGCAGTTTCGTTCGAACCCCAATGTAATATTATGCTTACGCGCGGCTTCTTTAAAAAAAACACTCACACTCTCGACAACTTTAAAGTGACAAGCTATCATCACCTGCTCTTGCTTGCCAAGTTAAAAATATTCTTTGCTTCCCCCCTGTGGCGATTAATGAGTTACTGTTCAATCTCGTTTTTGTTTTACCTTACTATATGATTTCCAAAGTGAAATTCCTTCGAGATATCCCTATTCTAGTCAGAGTTAGATCAGAAAAACATTTTTTCTCTCGTGAAGGACAAGAGTTGCGTTTGACTGTCTGTTTGTGCAAATTTGGTCAAAGTTTGCCTGTGTGTGTTTTTTCCTTCGTTTGTACAGGCCGCAAGTTTTGTCAGATGGGAGGTGAAAGTGTCCCAATATAACGAGGTTATCTGATAAGAGAATGTTATCAATACGCAGTCTTTTGTCGATAAGACGCGGTCTACTATAACAGTGCATCGGTTTTCCAAACCCGGGTGAATATTACATATTCTAATCCTTGTCAACATTGGAGTCTTAATCGCGAGGTTTGGCAGCTGCTGCTCCCTTTTTGTTTAGGTAGTATTCAAATCTGCTGTGTTTAAAGTCTTTCTTCATCATCTTTATTGTTATGTCGCCCTGCCGTGAATCTTCGTTTTACACCTCAGCATCCCAGTATGGAAATGTTTGATTAAAAGATTTCGGTCACTTTCATTCTCTCTGGGATTGCTAAATCCAGCCTCTCTCTCTCTCGGGTAAATAAACTTTGTCGATTGAGGCGCTTTTGCAATAATATATTGTTCTTTCTCCTCTTTAACGTTGTAAATCTATCACTAGCAGAAAATTTCATTTTCAAACCTCTTGTTGAAGGCAAGATCTAATCGGATGTCACGAGTCAAAATTGATGATTTTTTATTGCAAACGCTTTCCCGTGTTAAAATTTCATTCTCTCTCTTTTTTTTTTTGATGTGTAAATATATCTTTGAAAACAAAAATGTAGCAATTGATATGATTTATGTCAAAATGAAATGATGGTGATAAACAGAACCAATTTCATTTTCAGAGACTGTTGCGTAACTATAGATAGTTCTTCCGTAGGACCAAAACATGAAATAGTAATAATGATAATTTGCACCTTTTCATCAAACATACACAGTAGGGTTGTAATAAAATTTCTCAGCATTGGTCCTGAGAAGCGAAGATAAATATTACATCGATACGGAAAGGACAGGAAAGGACAGTTTGCTTGCTCTTTCTCCCGCTGCGTGGCATTTAGTTTGAAAACACTCCGCAACCGGCTTCACTTCCGTTTTGTGTTCTAAACTTTTATCAAACGTTCTCCACTTTGTGGAAGTTCCACTGTGTGGTCTAAAGGCACAGCTGTCAACCGAATGAATGAACAAACATTGTATGAAATGTGGCAAAATTAAAAGCTTCTACTGATTGTGTTTAGATATTGAGCAAATAAAAAGTCAATTTCTTGGACAGACACTACATGACAGCTTTGCAGAATCTCTTCCCCAGGCTTAAAATGTCGTACAGTGCTTTCCATAAACAGTAGTATCTACTTGTGCGGCATTTGTCTTTTCTTCTTCGTTCTAAACCTGTATTTAGAATTTTTCTTACCCGTTTTTATTTTAACTTGGTTAGATTTTAAAATTCGAGCATATAGTTAAGAAGGCAATATACACTGCTATATTTTGTCAAAAAAAAAGGACTGAGAAAACAAAATATTAAATACATGAAACTACTTGATGATTTCCTCAGGCTAAACGTTACCAAATGAAATGGCGGTTTACAGATATTTCAGGCAAGTCAACACTTGGTGCGCCATAAAACTTATAATAATGAAATCTTTATCTTCTGCGTTTGTTTTGCTTTTCTGACGAAATATTGATTGCAAATTTAGTGACCAAACGCTAATCTCTGAAAATATTTACTTTGGAGTGTGGTTTAAGTGTGGGTCAGAAGTATGTAATGCCTTATCCGTTGTCAGCTAAGAAAGTAAAGATTGAGCGATAATGTATACATTCGTTCTGTTTCTGTGCGTTTTTGAATTTCATGGGATATGTCTCCACATAATCTTTATGGTTATATTAGTTATTCCTGGTGGGGCAGAACAGGTTACGCTTCCTCTAATAGCTTTTCACAATCTTCAGTAACAAGGAAGCTTAAATCTGGATTTGAAGTTATTAATTTCCAGGCCCGAGAAAAAAAAATATATTCTCGTCTATACCTTCCTATAATGACATGTTCTCAGGATCCGATTTTCTCTGAAAGCTTTTTGCTGTGACAAGTCCGTTTCAGTTTATATAAATTGAATTTCTGGGAGACTACAAAATGCTTAATGATGGCTCAGTGTCATCTTAGTTCCGTTAGACAAGCCAATCAACCATTAAGAGTCCATAAAGTACTTCCATTTTATTGACTTTAATTCCGGCATTTTACCTTTGCTGTGGTTCCGTTATCACAAGCCATTTTCTACGTTAAAAGTAAAACAGTTTCCACTTTATCTTTTCTTAATCAGTCACTTTTCGAAGCAAGAAAAGTACATCAAAAAACTAAATCGGGAGCAGAGGTTTTTAGTGCAAAATGAAAACACAAAGGTGCTAAATGTTGAAAATCAGAAAAATTCACAACGCAAATCCCAAATAGCCTTACCAGTTACGTTTCTAAGCAAGAAATATACTTCGAAAAATACTAGTAAGTCAGGCCTAGAACATTTTTTGCAAAATGAAAACACATGGGTGTTAAATGTTTAAACTCAGAAACATTCACAGCGCAAATCCGAGATAGTCTTATCGAAAAAGACGGTACTTCAAAAGAAGAAAAGTTTCAAGTGTCGTTCAATTTTGGCGTACGTAAATTGATTAAGGAAAAAATGATTCCTTTAGAGATAAATTCAAGGTGTAAATGTTATCAATAAGGTTCGGAACGCTTGATAGTATTTTACAAACCATTTAATTATAATTATAAGAACAGCTTTAACTGCTCAGAACTCCATCACTACATGCCTAATCCTCAGTTCATTTGTTATGAACCGGTTCTTTGGCTCCATTAACTAGATCTTTTTCACACCTCATATATATAATTGATTGCAGAGAAACCTCTCGACACAAAAACAGAACCACATCTGGCGTACATGTTTTTCATTACACGGACTGAATGAAATTAAAATGCATGTTATTTAGCTCTTACATAATTCAGTGCACTTCTTCTTAGCATTCTTCAATAGAGTGCGAACCCGTGAAATATAGTCCATTCGGAGTTATTGAGATATGTTTTTTTTTGCTTTCTTAGAGGTTAACATTAAACATCCTTTTTATGGTAAAATTATCTCAAATGTAATCTAGTCCGTGTACAATTGTATGCACACCAGTCTTTGGCATTCTTTCTTCATCTGAGCTGCGATCTAGCAAAACATAGCTGTACCTGATATTTCATTGCGTTGCCAGTACCAAGGCTATTAATTTTTCGTATTTTCCAGTGGTTACAGATCTCTTGGTATATAAACCCGTGATTGTTTACAAATCTCTTTATTCATTGTGCCATGCTCCACACATGCCAACCAAACACGAAGGTCGTATTTTATCTTTCGTTATAATGTTCATTACAAAGCAAAACAAAGGTGAAAATCCACAAATCTAGTAAGTTCCTTAGTTTGCAGTGTGTAGTTCATATCGCTGATTAAAACCTTTCTTATTTTCAACATAAATGCCCACGCGACAGAAAACGTTTTCATACAACATTGCATCCGATTCACCAGATCTTCCGATAACAAAATAAAACAAGACGAGAATGAAAAGAAGGCTCATAACAGTTTCTGGGAATTATGTTCTATTTTTAACTCGTTAATTGCAGCGCTGACCATTTTCGTTTCCAGTTTTGCCTAAATCCGAGCTACTTAAAAAAGATCGACTGCACGATTTTGCTAAACATACGTTCAGATCAGAAAAAAGACATCGAATTCCTTCTAAAAATGGTATTCAAGTTAAGCCAAACAATGATTTTAATGACCCATATTCAAGAAAAAAAAAAACCGTTGCAGCGATCTGTCTGTCGTTAAATTTTTTGCCGCAAATTCTGACAGAAAGGTCATTATCAAAATATTCAACATTACGGAGTTATTTAAAAGCCCCTCATACCATTTTATGTTACCATCGTTAAGTCAACCCCGCAGAAGTTAAGGAGGCATTTTAAGAAAAGAACATTTCCTTTAAAGGTAATAAACAGCCAGCCAGTAATACACTCTATTTTTAGCCTCGCCAATGAAGAAACGATGTTCCGTCAAGTTCACGGTCATTTCAGAACCTTTCAAATCGAATAAAAGACGACCTGGTGATCAATTCCACTATTTGTCCTTTTTGATAAGGCGTGTTTGTAATGGTTTTTCAACTTCAGAGAAGAACCTTTTAATAAACTAGTGGAAATTATTGAAAAAAATATACATTAAATCCTTCTAGAGCTTCAGTGTATTATAGTTGATTTTATCACTCAGTTGTCAACAGGAAAGAATTGTCTCCAGTAAAACGACCGAGTCTTTATTTCACAATTAAATAATGAAAGCTTTATTAATTGTAGTTCCTCGCCGGAAAACCTTTTGGAAATGAGCCACGATTTTAGCAGCGTCGCCTCCGCATTTCTCGCATTTCTAGACAATTCTTGGTCTCTCCAAATCAGTTATTTGATCTTTGGCCACTGTTGATAACAACACTTTTGTGTTTGCTTCCTGTACAGTTTAATTAGTACAAACAGTTAATCAGCAAATCGACATTCATGGTCTCGAATTGTTAATTAATTCTTTGCTGTTTGGTTGAGAAGCAACCGAAGATGTGTTATTTCGTGTCACAGCTGTCATGTTATCAGGACTCAGCTGGCGTTCTTAATTAAAATTAAGACACCCTCCCTGTCATGTGCAGAAATTGAAAATGCTCTGGGCAAATAAATGAAATTAAGATCTACAGTTAAAAACGAAAAGCCAAACATAATTCAAATAGGTACAAGAGAAAAAAATCAATATACTAGCAAAGAGAACAAAAATGCAAAACATGAGGCGACGTGTAATTGTAAATAACTATGGCTTCAAAATAAACGTTTATATGTTGACTGGTCAAAGCAAGTTGTTAGCTCCGTGAAATAAGCTTTATTCAGATAATGGTGTTCCCAAGACAAATTCTACAAGTAAATATTTCCTCCCACCAATTTGCTTCTTTTTTTCGTCAATTTTTTTACCTGTTAAATGCTGTTGTGAAAACAACTCGAACAAATGCAGGATGCGCCTCACTATTAAAAAGAGGGAAATCCATCAACGTCGAAAATGATCTTGTCCTTGGTGCCATGGCGTCGTAAGCTGCCTAATGATATCCGGCGGTTTTTCGTTATTAAACCTCTAAATGAAAATTAATTTTTCTTACTTAGTAATCATTGTACAACGCTTACTTCTATAAAGACCTCACGGCTAAAAATACTAACAGCAGCCCCGGCGTAGTCTCATGTTTTATTTATTTAGGGTGGAAATGTTCCCGAAAAAAAAAAGTTGGCAAATTGAGATTGTACTTATTTTTCACTTTAATTTATCCGAGCAAAATGTGATCACAAAAAGCTGCAAAAAGTCGGGGACGACGAAACAATCGAAAATCCCTTCAAACACGTTAGTAAACATTTTTTACTATTGTCTCTTTGTTAGTCAGTTTGTGTCGAGGGATCATATATTAAATGTTGATACAAAAGTTAAAACTAAAAGGTTGACGTTTTTAAGTTAACCAAAGGACAGTTCAACAATGATGATTGCCAAGAAAATATCTTGTCTTTATTTTGTACCTGCTGCAAATACAGTTACCATGGGAGAAACAGTACTCCAGATACTCCAAACTTTGCAATTGTTCCAACAAGTGCAAATTTGAAGTCGGTCATATGCATCAATACAATCGTGATTATAATGCATACTCTGAAACAACATACTCTTGTAAATGAATCAATAAAAGGGCTCTTTATGAGAAATTATCAATAGCAGAGCGACAAACACTAACCGGGAATCGATTTTTATGAGAAATCTATTAGTCATGAATGCAAACAAAGGACTAAACAGTACTCTTGCCCAGGCAACTTCAGTTTTAGTTAACAGACATTTCTAATTCTTGCTTTCCTTAAAATTTTCAGCCTCCTCTCTGCTCGTAACCAGCCGGTCAAATTTTGGATATGTCCTCTTAATCGATCCCCACGTCTTCCATATAAAATGTTGTAGCTATTATAACGCGTGCCACGAAATTTTTGCGGGTTCTAATTTTGGCAATTCAGTTTGCGTTTTTTTTTGTTTTGTTTTTTTTCCACCAAACTAAAATTTTCCCAAAAAGTTTCTCCGCAAAAATTTACTCCATCGTGAAATTATACATACAAACCTCACAGGTAGAATCTTGTAGATGCCATTCATTTAAAACATTTCTTTCGTTCAGAAACAAAACGATCAAATTAGAAACTAAATGTTCAGAAATAGAACGACGACATGTCCCTCGTTACACTACAGGTTTAGCTCATAAAAAGTATGTACAAAAGGTTTGTCCGAAGACACTATCAGCCACACTGGAGCAAGACGAAGTTGTAATAGAAGGACTGATTACCGTGTAGTGAAATAAAAAAAAAAACGTCGAAAATGTCGTATTTCAAATAAACTCGACTTCCTGCAAATCGCAAAAATTGATACCCAGCTCGAAAAACTAGTCTTACGCGATCGCAAAAATAAGTTCCCGCAAAATGAAAAAAAAAAGGAAAAAAAGGGTAGCAGCAAAATTATGCAGTGTCGCTGAACGATACCACTAGAAAGGATTGCAATTATGGTAACTCTCTAACGGGGAATCAATTATAACCTTACAAAAGACATTTGGTTTTCGAAATTTAACATAAATTATAATGGCCAGTTCTTATTCACTGTAATACAGAGCTTGAATAAAGGCACGTTAGACACGAAAACACATTTCAAGTCAGTAGGAGTAGTCAGTAGGAGAAGCTCTTCTGTTGCCAACTACAAATAAGATATATAGAAATGTGGCAATTCCCTAGTTACGGATTACTTATGATCAGCAATTTTCTTGCAAAATGCGAGAGCTAGGTCTTATGTTTTAAAGGAAACTAAGTAACCATGGCACATTTCAAGTGAATAACAGCACCTTCATTCATATTGCACCGGTATTGGTCACCAAGAAATCAGTAATGTGAGGATAACACCTTGTGCCTGAGAACTACCTGAAGTCCGGGGTAGTTAATATTTTAAAGCAGAATAACTGATGTGCCTATTTTGGAATAGCCCAGAGCAACAACGTGCTCATTGGCAGCCAATAGCGGTTTAGCATTAGTAAACAAATGATTAGATTATTTGTTTAGCGACTAACATAAATATAGGTGTTTTGTAAAGGGTTCTTCGGTTACGCCTCCGGTGGTGGGTCACCGCATATGCACGTGCATACCACTATCCCCTCTTGGGTTACGTATTGTTAGGTTAAACGCTACTGTTGGAGCCAAGTTTTGTGTGTTCTCTTGGTCTCCCAAGATTTTAAAAATCCCGGACTCCCTGCAGCCGGAGAGATTCTCCAGGTTTTAGGCCAAAAACCTATTATAGTGGTAAGAGAAGCGTAGGCTTACTGCACAATTATCGAAAGACATTTAGAGCAGTCCAGAACAGAATATAACCTCTTTGCACGAATGACGAAAGGCGCCCAAAATGTTAGTGAAAAAGAGCAATAACAACAACAACAACAACAACAACAACAACAAAACAAAAACAAAAACAAATAAAGAAACAAGCAAAGTCGGCTATTGTCGTATCGAATTCAGCGTTGTTATGGGTAAACTATCCAGAGACAAACGTTACAGGCTTAGAAGACATCGGTTGTCAGCCCTTGGAACACTCAGACTATGAAGCGACGCCCAAGTAGGTTAACGAGTTAGCGGTTCTTCATGAACGAAGCTTTCCAGAAACAAGTGAAGTAATAAAAAACCTGGCTGACCGACGGAATGTTGAAATACTCATCCGTTCAGGAATAATGTCGATTCGTAACCACAGACCCCTTGATAAGGAAAGAGACTAACCCTGAAATAACAGCACAGTCAGCTGTAAAACTTTGACAACCTAAGGTACCAGGACTTGACATTAAAACTAGGAGAGGGTGAACGAGATATCAGCATTATCTAGCTTATGCGAACCTACTGGTCAATACAGATTGATTATATATTGGTTCCTGAGTCGCATTCACAGTTTTGTCTTTCTGAACGACAAGTGAAGATTTTATTTTCGTATCTAACCATAACGTAATTTATGTGATTTTTTTTTTCTTTTTTTTCTAGTTTAGCAATTTTGAGTCACATGAGCGATGTTTTCCTTCGTAAATCACACCGGCCGTTACATTAAGTTTATTAAGCCGGCCAGGAGCGGCCATGTTGACCGTTTAGTCACCACTTATTAGTTTGAAAGGAAGATATTTGTTGATTTATGTTGGCTTGGCTCTACATGCTCAGGCATTAGGCTATTTTTAAGATTGCTTGACTTAGGAGGGTTTTAAGCTAAGGTCGGAGGCATGCGAGGAAAAAATGTGCCAATATTTCGTAAACATAGAAAAGCCAAAAGTAAATAGTTTACTGAAAGTCATGGAAACCACCTGACCTGACAATCTGTATCATCGTGCAGCCCCTCAGTTGTGGTGAGAACTACCTGAAGTTGTAAGTAAACAGCGGAAAAACTGACTTGCCTCAGTCAGTGATAGAATAGCCTAGAACAGCTATGAGCAATTTAGGATAAGTAAAAGAGGGTTTAGAACATCTAGCTGTAAATCCTGTTGCTTTGTAAATTGTTCTTTTGTCTTACGCCCCTGGTGGTGGGACAGCAGGTGCCACTATCCCGCCTTGGGTTACGTTTTGGATTAAACGCTTTTCTACGTTTACGAAGTATCGGCAAAATCTCTCCTCACAAGACCAAACTGGGACTGGCCAAACATTGATATTTCCGTGTAGCCTTAAAATAACACACAAATCACGTAACAAAACTTAACAATTTTAAATGCGCTACCTGGTTTCTTCGCATAAATACAACAAAAAATACGTTGCGGTTCTTACAGTAATTCATATTGCCGTTGAACTCATACAAGATACCACCGAGTGATCGTCTCCAGTGATGGAAATGTTATCTTGCACTTCTCCCCTATGCATCACTAACTCGTGGTTCCTGCCTGCACGAAGCACATGCCTCTTGCATTTCAGCATTCTAGAGAATTCACTTGAATACCGCACACACGATTGGATTGCAGGCGCTGTTGGAGTAGATGAACCACTGAGTTGACATAATAGCTGAAACAATAGCCGAGTGTGTCATATCAGGCTCTCCAAGGTCCATGTAGAGGAATAAAATGTGATATGGCAACCAACACACAGCAAATAAGCTAGACAACGACAATCACAAGCATGCAGACTATCCGCTTTTGACGCTGTTGATAAACTAAAAGTGGTACAACAATATCTCAGTGTAATAGATGCATATGCTAACAGACGGAGTGCGACCTGTTCTGGCGGTTCGCTTTCGTATTCTGAAGGTGCCGAGGTAGTGCAGTTGGAATGCAAAGAGACGTTATAGATTGCAGAACAGTTTAGTGTTGACATGTTGATGAGTTTCGCAAAAGAACTGCTTGCAGAATGAGCAAAGTTCGCGCATCGTGCGATCTACGCTTTATGACGTCATTGCGTTACCAAAGTGACTCGCGCGCTGTGCATTATTCCACTTGACATTTCAGAATTGGCGATAACAGATAAAGGATACACAGCAAAACTACGGGGTTAATATATAGAAGTAAAGCTTTGGGCCAGATATTATTTAAAATGCACTAAAACTGATGCACAAGTCCGTGAACTTTTAGGCCTGACGAAGTATTTTTTTCTCATTTTGTATGATTTGTTTGTTTTCGTACTGTGTTTTTAACGGTTTCCTGCAAATGCGGACCTTTTTTCCGTTCGCGTGATATCCCAGGTAGACGTTCAAAGCCGAAATCAAATCTTCACACTTTTGGCCCAAGGATTGATTTGTCGCGGCTGGTTTTGTAATGCATCTATGAAAAATTGTTCGCTTAAAGTGATAAATAAATTAGTGACCTGATAAGAATTTGAAACAACTTTTTAAGGATGCTTCTAAACTGCTTCGCCTGATTGAATTATAGTAGTTAAAAGACACAAATAATTTATTACATATTGTAATTATTCCTTTTTGTATTTATAAGATAACAATACGGAAGTAGGGTCTCTCTGCATACTGACACCTTCTCCCAAGCAAAAACGCCGAGCCTTCCCACTGACATAAACAGATAATAAGATATCCCAGCAATCTTCTCGTTAGCCTTTAATCTTTCTAAATATATCTTGCCCATCTCCATTTCTTCATTCTCTAATTTTTCAAATTGTTGAATTTGAAGAGGAAGTGGGGGAATATATAAACAAGAAAATAAATACAGATGGAGTCATCTATCTTATTCAAAAGCAAATCAAACCGCAATTTAGCCTGAAGACAGCAAACTATTTGAGACATCAAACGCTAACTATACTTTTCGATAATATTGATGGGTTTCTTCTATTAATTTCCTTGTGCGGCAAACTATGTCAGTGAAAGTCACGTATTTTCGTGGATTGGTTAAATTGACAACCAAATCTTCATAAATAATAATAAAAAAAAACTTTAAAAGAAGGATAACGACAAACTATCGAAATGAGTAAACGGCTTTTTATAAGACCAGATGAATAAGTTGGTTCATTTAATTTTATGACCGCTTTTACAACGCTATCCTTTCGAGTTGATTGTATGTCAAAGGGGAGCGATGGTCCAGATGTCGAAATCTCGCGACATAGCCAGTTCGGCGGTTAAAAATACTGAAGGCTCTCAGCTTTATGTAAATTTTCTTATGATTTTGACCAGTGATTAAAGTATCATGCAAAGGAGATTGTCATCTTTTGAATGCCAAAAAAGGAAATAAAGATGCCCACTTTGAAAAGGCTTTGATTAAAAGGAAAACAAAGTCGGAAGAAGGTTTAACTTAGGGGAATTCTGCCTCCTACTGTCACGTTTACGGGAAACAGCTCAAGTAGAAAGACTAAATAAGATAGTTCCAATAATAAAGTTTTTCTATGCTTATCTAAACATTGGCTGAAAATCTCGCGGACTACGTAACATAATTCTTATTTTCACTCACCTCGAAGGTTTTGTTCCCAAAATATGTGAATTCGAAGGTTTTTCAACATGGACTCGATGTTTTCCATCTTAAACAATGTGACGAACAACACAAACAACTCAGCAGAAATCGCGCCAACGGCGGCGCCAAGTGAACCGGTAATGATTGAAAAACCCTTCTACAAATGGTTCCGCGTCGCAGCATACAGCTTCGTCTGCCTGAGCGGAGTGTTTGGTAACTTCATGGTTATCTTTGCCAGTCGTAAACCAGGCATGATTACAGTGAGCAACATTCTCATAGCCAACCTAGCAGTGGCAGATTTCACTGTTTCTCTCATCAACATTCCCACCGTTGCTGTTTACGGTCATCTGACGTACTGGCCATTTGGCGGTTTTCTTTGCAAGCTCATTCCATTCCTGCAAGGCTTGACGTTATCTGCTTCGGCTGGAACTCTGGTAGCCATCGCTGTAGAACGATACTGGCAAATTGTTCGGTACACGAAGCGGAAGCCTAAGGTCAGAGAAGCTTACCAAGCCGCTTTAGTCATTTGGGCGTCCTCCATTTTCATCCCTCTTCCGATGGCGGTGTTCAGTAAGATCACAATGTGGAAACAAAGAGAGGAAGAATTCGCGATCTGCGTCGAAGAATGGCCAAATCAGAAAATAAGGCAAGCTTACACAACACTGTTGTTCTTGCTGATGTACTTCTTTCCCTTGCTGCTTATCTGTGTCCTTTATGTACAGATTAGTCGCTTCTTGAAGAACCTGCCGCCAATTCGACGAGGTGTGTATAAATGTTTGTTGTTTTATATTATTCTTAAACTAAACAAATTGCGGAATCCAGCATGTGTTTGTGTTTTCAGTGACATCAAAGGCTTCCTTTGTTTAAGAAATACATGTTCAATGTAACAGTTAAGTTTATTTTCCAACCACTACTGCTCGAAAAAGAGATAAAGAACAGCACAATCGGAAAATAACAAAATGCACGAAAAAAAACAATACCAAAGAAAAAAATACCCAAAAAAGAGAATATTAAAACAAAATGGAAACGAAAACAAACCAAAAAAATACAAAAGATAATATCAAAACACAAAGAATACCAAAGAAAAAGAAATACCAAAACAAAAAGAGCACCACAACAGTCCTCGCCGACGTCCTCTTCACTAAGATCAATTAAGTCTTCTTCAATTTAATTATAGGAGTGGAAAAGCATTCTTGGATATGCAATGGAACTATTGCTAAAAGTGGAAACGTATTTCAACTTTTGTTGAAACAAGTAGAGGCCTACTAGCTGCTCATCATTCATATGAGGCAAAAATGATATACCATGCATGTATTTTTTTTTTTTTTTTGTAAAGAGCGGCGGGGATGATAGAACGACTGGGAGATAATATGTCTTTCGCTATCAATTTGATATTTGTATTTATACTGGATGATCGATCGATCTACGTTCCAAAACCTCCTCTGCTTCATGTTCACATCTTACCTGTGAAACACGTTGAAACGTCGTTTTTCTTTTCGTTTTTTCTTTTTTCTTTTTTTCTTTTTTTTTTACTTTAATTGTGATTCACACTACTTACAACGCGTTGAAACGTCACCGTGTATTGTCTTGGCAAAACAAAGGAAAATTAAGGAAAATAGCGATCACAAGTCTTGTTGTCCTGGCGTTGCAACGCATCTTTCTGGCACTTTTTCCAGATGTTTTCCAACATTTGAATAAATTTATCGCCAATTCTTGTTTACGTGCAGTCTTAAGACACACCCTCCTTAATGTACGTCACAGCTCCTTTGCCACAAGGACTTACCCGAACTGGTGAGCCAAAATGACAGCAAATTTGAAAGTGTTCAAAAACTTATGTCTCATTTCAGTAACCACCCGAGTTCAGGGGAAGACGGTCCGAATGCTGACTATTGTCGTGGTGTTGTTCGGCTTCTGCTGGTTACCATACCATATTGTTTACATGTACCTTGACTTCAGTCAGTCGCAATACACCCAAGCTATCACCTCATTAGTCCTGTTAGTTCAGTGGCTGATGTTTGCAAACAGCGCCTGCAATCCTGTTGTATATGCGGTCTTAAACGTCAACTTCAGGCGCAAGTTCTTTGCGATGCTTTTCAGACAGCAGACGGGACGAAGGCTAAATAATGAGCATGTGTCGATACGCGTCCAAACAGTACGAAGCGCCGTGTAGAAGTGTCACCGTCCTCCTCGAGCTACAATACGAAGGCACATCGTAACGGAAGATTTCATTTTGAATGTTATTTCTATTTATGTTAAGTAGATATTAAGAGGCTGTCTCTGTAAGAACCCACCACTGATTTTACTTCGAAAATTCGATTTTTCTCATAAGCTGGGATTTCGAAGCCCTTACCTAATCAATCACTAAAATGAGTTTTATTTCAT